ATAGTCAGTGTGTGTGTGTGTTCACATCTGAGAGTGCAGATAAATGCCTGGAGAATCCCACCGAGCGTCTGGACGGTGTGTATGCGTTACATGTAGCGTTGCCCACGTCAGGCTCAGCCTCCCAGAGGATAATGACTAGAAGTCGTCTGCTCGGTCTCTGCGGGCTCTGTGGGATCCTCCCCTCATTTGCCATCAGACACACACGCATGTACACAAGCGTGCATAAAGACGGCAGCGTAACGCTGCAGGAAGACGTCTGTGATATGCAGGCCTGTCCGCTGACCCGCTGTGACACTGATCAAAACACATCACAGTCGCTTCTGTCGAGTCGGCAAAGACAAAGCAAAACAAAAACTGGACCCATTTAGTCCCAATAATATCATCTCTCCCTCGTTTAAAAAGCTGAGGAATGAAGGGACATCATTTGTTATGCTTTCTCCCTTCAGAAGCTTTCCATTTCATTCTTACTTTTTGATTAGTTAAATAAGCAGTAGGCCAATTGAAGGGATTAACACTTAAATTCGTAATACAGAAGACATCTTATAAATAGGATGAAAACAGAAATGAAAACTAATTTTCCCCAGGCTCAAAGCACACCGACTCTCTTTATGATGCACTCATTTAATATGCATTATAAAGAAGTACAAAATATTTCCCCAAGGTTTGTTGGACTCAAACATTTATGTTTTAATAAATGATAAAATGTAATAACTTTTTTTGCTGCATTCCTCTGTTATACAACACAGAAAGGAAACAAAAGGTGTGATGCTCTTAAAGTCATGTGCTGGATTCAAACTTAAGCACACAAGAAACTATTAAGCTCAGTGAACAACCTAAAAAAATGACTACTCAGTGACTACTCAGTTACTGATTCGTTATTAATTAGTGATTAATTAAAGCTGGGGTAGGCAGTCGCCCCGGCACAGTCGTCCCGGGGCGACTGTGGCTAAAGGGGATAGCAGGGCCGCCTTTCAAACAGAGGGTCGGTGGTTCAATCCCCGGCTCCGGCTCTGCTAGTCGCATGTCGATGTGTCCTTGAGCAAGACACTTAACCCCAAAAATTGCTCCCGTAGTTGTGCCTACGGTGTAGAAATGTGATAGAATCTGAATTGTAAGTCGCTTTGGATAAAAGCGTCTGCTAAATGACTGTAATGTAATGTAATGCAACATTGGAGAAACCAGCAAGAGTAAGCTAGCTTTTGAAAGTTTCCAACCAAAAGTCTTTTCCAATGAAAGTAGCTAGCTTAGCTCCAAACGTCGCTAAATCTAGTGAGAAAGTTGCCAAGTCGGCCAAAAATTCTGAACGTGAACAACGAATATGGTTATTATTTGTGCTCACAGCTGTCAGGCTAGGTGACTGTTTGAATAGAAATTCAGCAAGGTGCTATATATATTTTATTTTTTACCAAAATAACTGAAGAGAACACTTTTCTTAGACTTTACAGTTTGTCTGGTAATGTTAAACTTGCTGTGCTAGTTGGTGTAAATGTTATTTCCGGGCAAAGGCGCTTCCCATTCTGTTTGTTCTAGCTATGCTAGCAGCTAGCTACGTAGCTCTATTTTCAATCGTCTCTAGCTAGCTAGCAGAAGGCTAGAAAATATTCCTTTTACATCTTTAGCTTAGCACAGGGTCACTAATAGGTGAACTGTGGTCCAGACCCTGGACCTAAAACCGATAGATAATTGAGAATTATAAAAGTTTGACTGAGCGCTTGTATTATTTACGGCACTCGTTGCACAGTTGTGCAGGAAACACACCGACCAATTACATGCGTTGTAAATCACATTACGTGATGCTACTCAGCCAATCAAATGTGTATTCCGACAAGTTTCCCCGACTCCAGTGAGATTTACACACACAGGGGAGAGACGAGGAAATAAAACGAAGAGTAAGAGAACTACTTGAGTCAGAGAAGTTATTTCATATGAAGTTCTCCAAAAAGAGGAAAGTGGTCAGAAAGACCAGAGAGACCAGAGTCTTCAACCAATAATGGACAGACTCGTATAGGTGAATTCTTCCCATGGGCAGTTTGGGTAAAACGTACCATCTCACATCCAAAATAAAGTCACAGATAAAACAATCTAAGAGCCCAATATGATCAGAATGCTAACACATGAATTCACTGTCCAACAATGATGTTAACAGAGAGAATAGAGCTGAAACAAGTGGTTTAATAACCACACATAAAGTCCCTGCACACTAATTCATCTTATTACAAGATGAGAAAAATATAAAATCGTGGCTTTTTTGATTCACATCACTTCACACCTCAATGAACTGAATGTCATGTTGCAGGGCAATTCAGTGAAATACATTTTTCTATTCGATTCTTCAAAACCTTTCTGTTACATTTATTTATTATTAGAGTATTATTCATAATTCATCCAGTTTAATTTGAAATCTGACAATAAATATTGTTGAGATATTATTTAATTGAACTTTCTTTATTGTATTTGACAGTCAGTTGTTGACTACATACAGACGTTAATACAACTGTTGGCTAATTCGATATATATGGGACCAAATCATAGCGCCAGTCAGACATTATTGTGATGTTCCGGACCTTTGCATGAGGAAATTCTCTCTAACTGGACCTTGTTGAACTTGAATTGAATACCCCTGGCTTAGCATGTCACATCATTAGTTTAGGTTCGTCATCTTAACAGCTCTGAATTACGACCTCTTGAGCAGTCAGGGCTTAGTTGCAGCATGTCGTGTTAAGTCTGTGAGGCTGTAACATTAGCTGTCAGATATAGTACTGGGAAACCAAACCACCGTCTCCCAGAAGGCAAAGCAATCTGCTACACAATATGCAACAAAGGACCGAATCGCTAACAAAATGTCCGTAGCTAGCTAAAAATATCAGCATGTCAAGGGCTTATTTTAGTGCAGCTGATAACAGAAATGATGATGGAATTGGACAAGTTAGCTGATAAGAGAGCTAATGTTAGCTATGTGTTAGCAAGCTACTGTAGTTAGCTAAGGCACTTGCAAACCTAATACTGCATAGCTTTCCGATGTATACAAATTCCACTATAACACAAGTTGCAAACTGTCAAAATGCTTTAGCTTTACTTGATAAAATATAGTTAGCCATACAAAAACTTAGTCTGGGTTCTTTGCCTTGTGTACATCCCACCACAAAGCAGCTTTTGGGCATTTTTCTGTTGAAAATGGCAAAGAGGCGCCTTCACGCAATACAAAGTGCATGGAGAGCGGTGAATTGTTTTCCCCTCCGGTGTGGGCGGGATTTAATTGCACTCTCTTTTTGTTACCATTGTCAGATGTGACTTAGTTACAAGTAGTTTGTTAATGCTACCATAACTAGAAAGCTACAATTATATTTATAATGTCCTGATATAATCATTTTAAATTCGATTTTGAGGCCAACGCAAAATTGTGCCAATTCCATTTATATTTAATTCAAGTCTGCTGGCTCTACACGGTTATTTTGTTCAACATGATGGGTTGGAACACACCACGGTGTGTCAGGCCATAGTACATTAAGTAAGTTCATAATCTGCTCCGTAAAAAACCCAACAAGTCATCAGTGATAACCAAATGGTGATAGCTTCTAAAGACGCATAAAGGAAGAAGAACTTTATAAACTTTCAACTTGGGCGAAAGTCGGGGAGATGCCTCGGGGGCTAATCAGCAGGAAAGACCTTGATGTGTAGGTTAAAGCAGACTGCAATGTAGAGCTATTCTCACACACACCACACACACACACACACTGTGTATGATCTGCTGTGCTCTTTTAAAGACAGCCTTCAAAGAGTCTTCACTTCACTCCTCGTTATCTCACACCAGCTAATATGATAAAGAAGATCTCTCACACACACACACACACACACACACACGAGCGGAGGAATCAAGTTTCAGCGAGCTGATTATCACATGCTGTATTACTGTATGCCAGGGGGAAGCCTCAGTGCCCCTGAGCAACGCAGGTGGAGATGTGAGCAGAGAGCACCATGAGGCAGAGTAATATGTTGTCCGGGTGCATGATTAGCAGCTACACCTTCAAATGCTTCTACTGTACAAACTTTTGGAAGGGCGAGCTTCCAGTACTCTGCCTCCAACTTCCCCTCGCGCACATTTGTCTCTCTAACTTTCTGTGAATTTGTAACTTAAAACTGCTGCAGTGATGCACATACTTGAGGAGAGGAGCTCGTCTTTGCTTTTGAATAATACAGCAGTGGATCCAATTGAGGAATGTGGAATGCTGAAAGTGAAAGTACAAAGGCTAAACTTTTCTGAGTGCATGCGTAAGCAGTGTTTTTAACTTAGTTTTAAACAAAAAAACAACTACAGAGTGACAAAGAGGAGAAAAAAGGCCGGATTTCTTGACTCGGATGGATGAAGACATACCTGCATCACCTTAATTAATACTGCGTCAGAAAACAACATGAGACCCAGATCACTTTAGTAAAATGTCATGCAGTTTGCTGCTTCGTCTATGGAGCCCCATGACTGTCAAAATGTAGTAAAAGATTATCAGACAAGTCAATATTATGAGTAAATTCAAACAAATAATACCGTTTGTTGAATAATGTAAATGCCGTAAGAAACAAAATCTACAGGTTTTTCACCTAAAAAGTCTGAAAGCAAAATGAGCAGGAAGCTAAACACAGAGTATAAAACATATAATGTTAGGTTTTAATCTATTTTCCAAATGTATTGGAGGTTAAATGAAAAGCATCAAGCTGCGCGTTTCTTTTCACAATCCATATTTCCAACTTGTCGGATAACCTCCTACTTTGTCAGTTTTAAGACTCCATGTATCAGTCTCCAATAGCTCACACAGCTTAATGTAACAACACAGAATAAGTATAATGTCTGTCTGCCTGGAAATAGCTTCATGTCATTGAGTTGTGCTATTTACAAGGTGAAACAGCAAAACAACACTGCAGATTTGAAATCTCACTTTGCAGCTAAAATGGATTACATCATCAGCATCATATAAATATTTGCTTTGATGAGGGACACGGGTTAATAGTTGAGTTTTCGAACTTAAAAAATGCAAAAGTCTAACACACATGAACATAAAAAGAAGCCTTGGGGTTATTCAAACACAGCTACAGTCTACAGTGCAAGGTTTCTGTTAAACTCTGCTAGAATTCTAATGATGAGACTGCAGACATCATCGCTGCGTCTGACTGGACGACCCCGTCTGGTTTACTTGACATTAGGTGAACCGCTTTCAGGAATTCATATTTTGCTTCAATTCCGGCAGTGTTGAAGTTTCTTCGTATTCTGAAAATACTAAATTAATGTTGTCAGGGAAAATGTCGAGTTTTACTGCTTGTGTTTTCCCGATGACAACCTGCCTTTTTTGTTTTCTACTTTCTCACTTACTTTAAATGATTATGTGTCTGTAAACTACCTAAAATTAGAACTGAAAGGGTGGAGGCTGCGGTGACGAGCTGAACTGCTACTGAGGACTTATGTCACAGCAAGCCGAACTGTGTTTGCCTTTGAAACGGTGTCATTTTCAGCATAAGTAGGAAAACAAGTTTGGTAGCGTCGAAGAACTTGGATTTCATACTTTTACATCAGACGCTCACTCTGAAAGCCGTTTCAAATGACAAGATTTTTCTCTGTGTTAAAACCTAAAGTGACAGCACTCAAACTCTGATCAATCAGATTTTTTTGGGGGGTCTTTAAACCCCCCCCCCCCCCCCCCCCCTCCCGCCTGAATAATCGTGAGAACTTGAGAAAAATTGAGTTTCTTTCTTTTACATCAGACAGTGTGCTGCTCTGAAAATATCATCTCTCTCCGTGGAAAACTTCAAAAGACACTACTCAGACTGGATTGTTATGTCCCCCCTGCTTCTTTGAAGGGCCATGTGAAGTACAATTTAATAAAATATTATTAGCATTATTATAATAACCATGTATTTATTCTTTTTGGTTTGAAAGTTGCTATTGATATGGCTTTAGAAAGCGATCCTCATAATTAAGGTATGATCTAGGATTGACACAGTTGATGTGTTGACCCTTATATTCCAAAATCCTATCGATTTGAAAGAAGCTCTCACCTTCTTTGCAGCGTTGATGCACCGCATGTATTCTTTGGCCAGGTCTGAACACCTGAGGGTCTGGTCTCTGTTGTCCCTGTAGCAAGATAAGATCTGAGCCTGCAGGCCAAGACACACCGGGTCGGTATTGCGAGACCTGCAAAACACACAAAGACAGAAGGATGAAATTATTGAGGTGAAAAAACAACAAAAAAAGGACGTTCGATCCCCTTTTTCTCACTGAAAAAAAACTAGAATCACTTTAAAATGGATGAAACCAAACAACTGATGAGGATCAACATCTAAAGCCTGAACATCGGACCAGATGCGTCACATCCACTCTTTGTGAACGTACTGTACATCAGGGTTTCATACATCACTTGGCTTTGTTCAGGATTTTTATTGGTTGCAACAAAAAACTGAGTTCTTTAAGTGAGAAAAAAAAACCGATGACAGCATTTAGTGCACCGCATCAGCTCTTCGGAGAAAGAGGGAATGTGAAAAAAGGATGGAAACAAAAGTTTATTTAAAGGCTATAATCTATGTTGTTGTATGGAACAATGGATCAGATACATGCAGAAGAAACTCTCTCATGGTGTTTCCAACTGCAGCAGGCAGCTGTTTTCAGCAAAACACTTTTGAGAACCGACTTTAAGCGGCCTGCTCGGTAAGAGCCGACAGACGAAGTCAGCGACTAGCTGGTGAGCACAGTGGAGCATTTAGAAGACAAGGAGCCAGATATCTGCCTCAGTCGTTGCTGGAGACCAATGAGAGTCCAAAATGGTGACCAGAGTTTAAAAGGTGAGTTCATCTTAAACATGCATACATTCCTCAGGTGACAACAACTCCAGATGGATGATAATGTTGTGCCGTAACTGTTGGATGTGTAAATTAGCAACTGTATCCTAACAAGTTTGCCATACTGACTTAAAAGGAGGCGATATGTCAGTGTTGCATTCACGGCCCGTTTCCACTGCACTCGAGTGGGCCAAAAATGACTATTTTAGATGAATCAAACAAAAACTTAAAAGCATTGCCAATTCGTTAAGCCATTCATAAAGAAGTTTGATTACAAAGAGCCTTGATTCAGTGATTTGATGCAAATCCAGAGTATATTCGAGTTTCCCATTTCCTATTTGGATACCTTCTAAATATGGTGGGTATGTATGTGGTTTTGTCCAGTCCTAACAGAACACCACATATATGTTTCCCCCTTCCACATAAATACCCAAGTACAAATTTGAGAATGGCCACTGAAATGTGCATTAATATACGACTTCAAAAGATCTGTGTGGCTGGTCCAGTTCACAGCTTCCTCTGACTTCATGCTCGTCTTAAGGCCACAGCTGAACAAAATAAAAAATTATTAAAAAAGAAGACAAAGAAGAAAAAAAAGAGTAAGAAAACAAACACAAGGATAGGTCTGACTAATTGAGGCAAGACAAAGATGGAAAACAATTAACAGCATCATCCACTGCAACCTGTTTAACAACCTATGGTGTGTTTCGCACGTGCCTCGTCCCAAATCGTGCAATTAGCGCCAAATCGCTCTTAATTGTGTGGGTAGGATCATCCTGATCAAATACAGCACAAAAGTGTGCTCTGAGCGACTGAATGAGCCGTGCTTAATTTGATATGTGGGCTGTTATAATTGGTCTTTGGCTGTCTATCTGTGCGATTGTTAACTATGACAGGCTCGCTGCCTGAGTGCCTCGCTGTAATGGATTCTGACTGATTGAAGCAGAGACAAGCGAGTTAAGCACGCCTACGCAGGTATAGGAAAGGGACGTGCACAAACGTATACACACACACACACACACACACACACACACACACACACACACACACA